TCCATTATGCTTTAGTATGCAGATTTTCCTGTTGCCTTTACCACTTTGAAGCCCAGTCAGGTAAAAACAAACTGGGGCTTGGAGACTCAATTAATAGAGATAGTTCGACAGATTCCACTAACAAAAGAGCTGTTGTAAGTCTTTGCCCAGGACTCAGGCTAAATCATAATTTTGATTTGTAAATGTGGACAAATGTAAGGGCTAAAATAAAATTAAAAACATACTATTTACATTCCTTACTATAGAAGGAACAGATAATTTATTTTTTATATCTGTAATTTTATTCAAAAATATATTTTATGATACAGTTCTTTGTCTTCTGTATTGATTTATAATTTTTTATTTTCAGCGATACAAACATCTTAGGGAGCTTTCTTGAATCACTGGATATGGAACGTCACAGAGGTGTAATTTTGTACCTGAGAGCTAAACTGAATAGATTTTCAAAATTAGAGTATAAAATCTTATTAAATGTTAGGACACATTTGAACATAATGAGGAATGCTTTCAAATTACATTTCAAAGCATTCCTCATTATGTTCAAAAGTGAGTTTCCCTCTTGTTACCCAGGCTGGAGTGCAATGGCGCGATCTCGGCTCACCGCAACCTCCGCCTCCTGGGTTCAGGCAATTCTCCTGCCTCAGCCTCCTGAGTAGCTGGGATTACAGGCACGCACCACCATGCCCAGCTAATTTTTTGTATTTTTAGTAGAGACGGGGTTTCACCATGTTGACCAGGATGGTCTCGATCTCTTGACCTCGTGATCCACCCGCCTCGGCCTCCCAAAGTGCTGGGATTACAGGCTTGAGCCACCGCGCCCGGCCTTCAAATTACATTTCTATTCTGTGAGAAACAATAGTGTAAAGTGGCATTGTAGTGCATTTTATTAAGTCAATAAATAGATTCTCTTATCTGATACCTTAATTCAGTTTACTACAGAATGTAAATAAGTAAGAATTGTAGGTTATACAACACACACATTCACACACACTTTAAAATAAAAACCCAGCATCCTTTTGGATTGCATTGCGGTGAACTGGTCTGTCTTCCCTAGCAATGAATATAGTTAGCACCCAGCTCTTACTAAGAGTTCCATAAAGGTTTGCTAAGTTATTTTATTTTATTCTTGAAAGCATTTGTTCCGTGGGCTAGGTAAATATTTGAGTACACTGAAATATGATTTTAAATAATGAAAGCTGGGGTGGGATGTTTGAGATCAACTAGCTCAGTTGCCACTTAATCATCCAGTTCAAGTGCCATAAGTTCGCCAGTAATTTTAGAAATTTTAGACTCTGTATGGCAATTTTCTCTACCTAAAAAAAAAAATTTCCTCCAAATGTGATTATAGTTAGGTTGAATTACATAAATAAAATAAGATACTAGTTTATGTGGACAGACTCCCGTCTAAACCTTTTGTAAAAAATTGACTTTTTCCTTACACCATTGTACAGTATTATGTTATCATAAGCGCCTTTGCAGATATTTGTTAAAATTCAAGGAGCCATAAGAGTTAATATTTAGTCTGAACAGTTTCCCCAACCAATAACATTCATTTCAATTTCCTGTGCATATCATGATGACACTGAGCTCAGCCTGCCTACTGATTGAGTTAGTTATTTAAATGCTGAAATGGCTTCTTAATAACTTCTTTAATTATTTAGCTATTTAACAGAGCTCTATCTTCTTGTCTAGAAAATGGTGACATTAAAACTGTTAATATGTGATTCTGAGTGCTGGCATTATTTCTGGTTAATGATAATAACCCAGATTTTTAGTAATGCTTTCTTATTTGTATTTCACTCATTTTCTTTGCCTTTGTGTTACCTCGGTTCAAAATTCACAGCCTTGACATGTTGACACAGGCCATCTTTAACCACTAAAAGCACAGCTCAGCCCCAGACTCATTAATTTTGAATTAAGCAAGGTTGGCAACATCCCTGCATAGATGAATGGCTTTTGACTAAATGTGCTGTGTTCTCCTCAATAGGAAACAGCTTCCCCCACTGAACAAACACTGCCACTTTCATTGCCGATCATTAATGGTTAGACATGAAGCTGGCTGTCCTCTTGATGTTACCCTAGTGATTACATATTCATTTACTACATACACTGTTACAGGCTCTCTGTCTTATCTACTTGTGATCATTTCCAGATAACAATATGCAGCCAGATTGTTCCTGAACCCTGATCCTCTGATATTGCTTGTTTTGTGTCATCTTGTTTGTTAACTCACTCCTTGATTGCACGGCTCTTATGCCTAATACATTTTTATCACCTTGCAGCAAATTTCTGGTATCCTTATAGCCAAAGCTCATGTATCTGCTTTGTCAGAATCGGAGTCAGTTTGGTAGTGACTTCATCAGCATCTAGCAATACAGTAACAAGTTTCTTCAACAGGACGGGGTGGGGGGGGAAGGAAACGTTTGGCTATATTCTTAGTATTTTTTTTTTTTGCATTCCAGAGACTTGGCAAAGGGAGAAGCTATGCCCACTAAGTCTGTTTACAGCCAAGTGTTTTTAGAATCTTGGAATTTTCTTTTTTGGAGTTCTTCATACTCTGGATCCATTGGAAAGATGATAAAACAGATTGTCTGTAAGAGAGTCAATATAAAAATAGTCTGCAAGGATGCATGCCACCATCTGTGTTGTCTTATCTAGAAATTGTATCCCTGTCTCAGATTGACTTCCAAATTAATATGCTTATAAATATTAATTGATAGGGACAAATTAGAAAAAGTGTAAATGTGTGTGTGTGAATGTTTTATATATATATGTTATAAAGTTATATATATAATATATATAATATATAATATATAACATATGTTATAATATATATATTATAATGTTATATATATATATATACACACATACACACATATTTTCTAACATACAGAGTTTTGGATGAGAATTTCTTCTGAATTGGCAGATGAATTCGGTCTGCAGGTTTCTTTTGAATCTGTATTAATCAAAGTACATATAAGAGTTTAAAGAATGTTATCTTCTTGGCTGGCATGGTGGCTTATGCTTGTTAGTCTCAACAGTTTGGGAGGTAGAGGTGGGAGGATTCCTTGAGGCCAGGGATTTGAGACCAGCCTGGGCAACATAGTGAGACCCTTTCTCTAAAATAATACTACTAATAATTATCTTTCATGATAGCAGTTTTGTAAGTTGTAAGTCAGAGGTTAACAATGGAGACACATATCAACCCTGATATCCTTGGTGACTCACAAAGCACTGAGAAATGCATTTACTTCTGGATAATGTATGAATGTGTAAATGATATACAGCTACCATGTACCAGAATGCTAGCTACTCCTAAGCATAGAGGGAGTGCAGAGGGGAAATTATTCATTAGGCAAAGAAGGAAACATAAGGTTGACATGGCATTTAGGAAAAAGCTGTACTTGACCAAATAAGCTAATATTTGAAGGAAAACAAACAGGTAAATATGATTACATTTGGCCCAAGTTGTTGTTCTAGTAAAAATGAGTAATATTTCTCCTTTAAATGCTCCCACCCCCCACTTTTGGTAAGAAATCAGTAGCAGAACATCCCCGAAGTTCTCTTTGTCTTGATTTATTGACACTGAAGCTCCATGCCTGCAGAAAATTTCTCTGCAAACCTTGTTACATAGAGCTTATTATAAGTTTTTCCATGTGTTTTTCTAATTAAAATGGTTTTCTTTGGTCTAATATTTGTAGGATGAAAATATCTAAAAGTGAAATGTGATAATCTCCTGGACCTTTCTTCACATTGTTTCATTTTCTACATTGTGTAAAGTACTTTTAAGTGGACAATTTAGGAAAGATGTTTCTGGTAGCTGTGGAATGAAGCAACTAGAACATCCATAGAGTCTTGTTCAACTGTCTAGATGGAGGCAACCAAATTAGATTAAAGGTTAATGTTTTCCCTTGTTTTATCTTTCCAATTTAATGTTATGGGTTTAGTGCAAAGTTAGCTTACGAGTAGACCTAGCCTGGTGTGGAGGAGACAACAGCTCTCTATTGGGTGTTGATGCAATCATGTCAGAAGCACTATCCAACCAAAAGGAATTTCTGCTTGCATAGAGTCCTTTTAAAAGGAGGACAAAACCCTTAGTTCCACAATTGGAGTGGAAGACTTTTTTTTTTTTGAGACAGAGTCTCACTCTGTGGCTCAATCTGGAGTGCAGTGGCATGAACTGGGCTCACTGCAACCTCCACTTCCTTGGTTCAAGTGATTCTTGTGCCTCAGCCTCCCGAGTAGCTGCGATTATGGTGTGCACCATCATTCCTAGCCAGAGTTGAAGTCTTAAGAGGCAACATAGCAAACTCAGAACATGGTAGTGGGTAAATTACTCTCATCAAGTCACCTCTTAAGAACAGGTTTAGAGAAAAGAGATATAGTGAGAGTAGGAAAACCCTGACTTCTGGAAGGGGAGCAGTTAAGGGGTCCATACTGAGGGAGGTGCTAAAAAGAGCCTGAGATACACTAAGAGTATTTCCATATACATGTTTATTCATATTCAAATATAGCAACTTCTAATATGTATTCTCTGATCAGAAAAGTAACTGAAAAAATTCTACCAAGTAGGTTGATATGAGAGTGTAGGTGTGTGTGTGTGTGTGTGTGTGTGTGTGTGTGTGTGTGAGAGAGAGAGAGAGAGAGAGACAGAGAGAAAGAAAAAGAGAGAGAGAGATCAAGGTAGGATATCTCTGTGTAAACAAGTTAAGGAAATGGTTCTGCATAACAAATTCTACCTCCTCTTGTAAATGCAGGACATAAGACATACAGGTGGGACAAGCCATTTGAGAACCTACAATGCCATCTCTGAACAAGCACCCCAAATTGTGCAGCCGGGGCCTGGTGCTTCATATACCTACAACTGACACTAGTCCTAGAAAATGTCCCTAGTCTCTCCCCATGGATGTGTCCAAGTCTGCAGGAGAGAAGCTGGAGCACTAGCTGGAGCCCAGTCCATGGTCCTTCTTAAGGCTTGCTTTAAGCAGTTTTTTTTCCAGTTGCTGTGCTCTTCCTGAACTATCTCACACCTAATCTTCAACTTGATGCCTGTGACCACACTATGACAGCAGTCTCCAGCCTGTTGCACATTAGAATCACCTGAGGAATTTTCAGAAATGCTAATGCTTGGGTTTCACCCCAGAACACTTGAATCAGGGTTTCTGGTGGTGGGCCTAGGATTTGGGTCTTTAAAAATCTCCCCAGGTAAGTCTAGTGTGTAGTAAGGTTGAGAATCATTGTGTGTGTGCCTCAAAAAATTCTGTAGGCATGGATGAAACCAGTTACTAGTATTCAAGGATAAGGTCTGAGTTACTGAAAAGAGAAAAAAGTATATTAACATTTTGAAATTATGCCTATATAAGGTATTTTTATACTTAAAGCCACTAAAATTTGTTTTTAAATTGTGGGAAGTTTTATTAAAGAAAATTAATAGATAACTGGTGGTTAATTGGCCATAGAAATAAAAAAAAAACCTACATATAGCTTTTAGATAAATATTTTATAAGGAGATTTATATATCATAGCTAAAGAAGGGGTAATGATTTTATATTTAGATTAACTAAAGATGCCTTAGATTGAATTCATTAAATATTAACAGTATCAAAGTGACTAATTGCCATAAAACTACATATTTTACACTGTATGAATGGGATGTGCACACAAACTGATTTGTCTAAATGACTATTATGTAAAAAAAATCACATTATGTCTGGAAAAAACTTGCTAAGACATTTATTTAAACTTTCTTGTATTCCTGTTGTTGCTTAAATGTCTTCAGAAAAAAAGTGTTTAAAACTACATTTAATAGGCTGGGCACAGTGGTTCATGCCTGTAATTCCAGCACTTTGGGAGGCAAAGGAGGGCGGATTGCTTGAGCTTATGAGTTCAAGACCAGCCTGGGCAACATGGTAAAACCCAAAACTCTGTCTCTATAAAAAGTATAAAAATTTAGCTGGGCATGGTGGCACATGCCTGTAGTCCCAGCTACTTGGAAGGCTGAGGTGGGAAGATCACTGGAGCTCAGGAGGTCGAGGCTGCAGTGAGCTGTGTTCAATCCACTGCATCCACCTGGGGCAACAAAGTGAGATCCTGTCTCAATAACAAATAAACAAAAACCAAAAACCAAACCTTTATTTAATAAAGCATGGAATTATGTTTTAAAGGCAATAAATGAATAATATCTTAATCTATCTATATTAAATTTAAGTAGTACACCAATATAAAATGTTCAGAGGTAATGTTCAACATAGAGCAATGAAGCAAAGTAGGTTGAGAGTAATCATTCTAGTAATTTTAGGAAAAATAAAAAATTTCAAACGTGTCTAATGTTGAATGAATTCTTTATGGAGGTCCATATGTAAGAATATTCCTTTCTTTATGGGATGTCTTATGAGGTGAGGAGAGGAGTCTGCAAGTCTTCTGGTTCCTCTTGGCAAAAGGAGTTGGATGGGAAGGGGAAAGGAGTGAGAGGTCAGTTGGGGGCTCATTGTCCATGGAACAATGGCAGGAGTGGGGAGCTGTGCAGGCCTGCCTAAGAGCTGGCAAGGCACAGAGCCTAACAGGCAGCTTAGCTGTGAGTGAGCAGCCACTGACAGAGTTTTTACTTGGGGCTCAGGCTGGAACTCTAATGTTGTCAATCCAGGCCGGAGGTGAACACAAGAATCAATGGACAGGTGACCAGGTTAGAGTTCACAGATGGGATTCCAGTAAATTACAGCATAAGACGGCTTTATGGGACTTGAGGCAAAAGCCCAGTCTTGGGACTGCAGCATACGAAGTGGGCAGAAGTCCTTCTCTGAAAGTGGTGGGGTCTTATTGGAGCAATGAATGGACAGCAAAGGGTGCTTACTGAGCAACAGCTTGTACTCTGCCAAGATCAATGGGCTGAGGCAACTGATTTTGTGCTCAAGGTGGGCAAATTGTTTTTGAGGAACACAGGGTGGAGACTTCATGACCTGAGGACAGATGTGCGGATCTAGAGAGGCCGTCAAGGAATTGAGGCAGGGCTGATATGTCCATGACATCTGGCTTTTGGCTCACAGCTGAAACTGCCTTTAGCAGCTGGTCCTTATCGGCTACTTGACCCAAGGCTGTCCCACGCCTTCCCAAGGGCCAAACCATTTCTCTGATTGCAGGTCACCGGAGGAGTCTCTGTACTTTGTGCTCTCCAGGTTTTCTTAGACATACTACATATTATTTGAAGGGAGAATGAAGGAAATTTTCCTCTGCCCCCCCTTTTTTCTCATAACAGTAACTTTCAGGCGCTCATGAGAGACATGAAAGCAAATAATGAGAACATTCATGCAACATATATATTGAGTAATTACTATGTGCTGTCCCTGAGGCTATAAAGATGAGCAAAACAGATGTAGTTTCTGCCCCCTACAGAGCTTGAAATCTCATCAAGAGACAATTATCAAATAATCACTCAACTATATAAGGTCTTTATTACAATCCATGGTAACTGGTAACAGAAGAGCATCACCTAATATGAATATATATTCTAACTGGGGATTAAAATGTCATAGTCAGTAGTAGGGCTATTAGTTCTCTATTGCTGTGTAACAAATAATCACAAATATAGTGGCTTAAAACAACTTATGTATTATTTCAGTTTCCGTGGGTCTAGAGTCTGGACATGTTTATGTTGGATCCTTTGTTCAGAGTCTCACCAAGGTTTGGAGATGTCAGAGCTGCAAGGTCCTCTTTTTGGAGCTTGAGGTCCTCTTTTCTGCTCATTGTCTATTGGCAAAATTTAGTTCGTTGAGGTTATAAGTTCTTGCTTTGTTGCCGGCTGTCAACTGGGGGCCATTCTCAGATCCTAGAAACTGCCTGCTATTTGCTACATGGCCCTTTTTACAATATGGCACTTTGCTCCTTCAAGGCCAGCAAGATAGTCTCTTTCACACTTCTAATATCTCCAACCTCTTTTAGGGACTCACCTGATTAAATTAGACCTACCCAGGATAACTTCCCTTTTGATGAACTCAGCACCAAATGATTAGGACCTTAATTCATCTTCCAAATCCTTCTGCCATTTAAGGAAATGTAGTCATGGGAGAACTGTCCCATCGTATTCACAAGTCCTTCTCACACTCACGGGGAGGGAATTGTACAGGTATGTGTAATAGGGAGCAGGATTCTTGGGTCTGTCTTAGAATTCTGCTAACCACAGTGGAAAAGAATTTGATTGGGACTTCATGTTGAAATATAAAATAAAAATGAAATAAACCTTATAAACATTTCAAAATTCATGTTAAGTCCACCTATGAGTCATTCTTAATGCAAAACAAGAAATCAATTAGTTGTTTTAGCTTAGTGTGTCTGACAAAATTGTCAGCTGTCATAACATTTTTTACTTCTTAAGTATAGGCATACTTCATTTTATTGCACCTCTCTTTATTGTGCTTTGCAGATACTGCTTTTTTACAAATTGAAGGTGTTGAGCAAGTCTGTTGCCACCATTTTTACAATAGCACATGCACACTTTGTGTCTCTGTGTCACATTTTGGTAATTCTAGAAATATATATATATATATATATAATTTATTTTGAGATGGAGTTTCACTCTTGTCACCCAGACTGGAGTGCAATGGTGAGATCTTGGCTCACTGCAACCTCTGCCTCCTGGGTTCAAGTGACTCTTCTGCCTCAGCCTCCCTAGTGGCTAGGATTACAGGCACCCACCACTGTGCCCAACTAATGTTTGTATTTTTAGTAGAGATGGGGTTTCGCCATGTTGGCCAGGGTAGTATGATTATTATATCTGCTATTGTGATTTGTGATCAGTGTTCTTTGATGTTACTATTATAATTGTTTGGCGCACTATGAACCCTGCCCATATGAGTGTGAATTTAATCCATAGGTGTGCGTGTTTTAACTGCATTACCAACTGGCCAGTCTTTCATCTCTTTCCCTCTCCTTGGGCCTCCCTATTCCTTGAGACACAACCATATTGAAATTAGGCCAATTAATAATCCTGCAATGGATTCTAGGTGTTCAAGTGAAACAAAGAGTCACAAGTCTCTCTTTTTAAATCAAAAGCTATTATAGAAATGATTAAGCTTGGTGAGGAAGATATGTAAAAAGCCTGGGTAGGCTGAAAACTATAGACTGTTGTGCCAGTTAGCCAAGGATGTGAATGCAAAGTTCTTCAAGGATATTAAAAGTGCTACTCCAGTGAACACACAAATGATAACGAAGTGCATCAGCCTTATTGCTGATTCAAAGAAAGTTTGAGTGGTCTGAATTGAAGATAAAACCAGCCACAACATTCTCTCAAGCCAAAGCCTAATCCAGAAAAGACTCTGTTCTCTCTTCAATTCTGTGAAGGGTGAGAGGGAAAGAAGCTGTTGAAGAAAGGTTGAAAGCTAGTACAAATTGGTTCATGAGGTTTAAGGGAAGGTGCCATCTCTGTAACATAAAAGTGCAAAGGGGAAGCAGCAAGTGCTGATATAGAAGTTGCAGCAAGCTATTCAGAAGATAAGTTCATTGGTAAAGGTGACTACACTAAACAACACATTTTCAATGTAAATGAAGCACCCTTCTATTAGAGGAAGATGACATCTAAGACTTTCATAGCTAGAGAGGAGAAGTCAATACTTGCTTCAAAGGACAGGGTGACTATCTTGTTAGGGGCTGATGAAACTCATGGCTTTAAGTTGAAGCCAATGCTCATTTACTATTCTGGAAATGCTAGGGCCCTTAAGAATTTGCTAAATCTACTCTGCCTGTGCTCCAGAAATGGAACAACACAGCCTGGATGACAGCACATCTGGGAACATGGCAGCATAATCTGAAGCCTCTCTCAGTAACCCTCTCTTCTCCCATTTTTTCTTACAGATATTCCCTGCAATACGTTTCTTACATTTTAAATCCTATCTTTGTGCTTTGTTCCTGAAGGACCCAGACTAAGTGCAATGAATTAATATGTGGAACACTCTTAGACTAAGGCTTGGCATGTATTAGGTCTAGATAAATTTGATATATTATCATTAACTTGTAAAGGCAGAGCATTGCCAGCTGGAAGAACAATAAATGCCAAGGCCCTGACCTGGGAAGAAACTTCGCAGATTGAAAGGACAGAAGGCAAAATTGTGTCTGAATCATAGTGAGAAAAGGACAGATGAAAGTGGTACCAGATGAAGGAGGTCCTTGTAGGGAGGTAGGGTTTTCTTCGCTTTAAACGACCTGAAGTCAGTAGG